GGTTTGAGGCTAACCCTGAGAGGAGTAGTATACCAGTTGAGGAATCAATTGTGGAATTGGGGAAGTCCTTGGGGTTGGAGGTTAGTGGGGAGGATGTGGAAGAGTTGGTGGAGGAGGACAATGAAGAACTAACCACTGATGAGCTGATAGATCAACTTCAAGAGCAAGAGGCCAGACCTGGGGAAACTGGTTCAAAGGAGGGGAGAGAGAAATTGAAGGAATTGCCTACTTCAAAGATTAAGGAAATGTGTGCAAAATGGCTTGAAGTGCAAACCTTTTTTGATGAAAATCACCCTCACACAGCTATTGCAAGCCGTGCTGGTGACTGTTACAATGACACTGTTGTGGACCACTTTAGACAAATCATAAAGGAACGAGAGGTACAGGCCACTATGGACAGATATGTTGTGCGAAAGAAGTCCAGTGACTCTGAAGCTGGTCCTAGTGGCATTAAAAGAAGAAGGGAAGTAACCCCAGAAAAGGACTTGCTACCTCAAGTCCTAATGGAAGGGATTCCCCTTCTAAACACTAACACTCTCTCTCCCCTCCTCCCATCCCATCAATCATCACCAGATCTTCAATAAAAGTAAGTGTCATGTAATTGTGCATGCCTTTTTCAGTTTGTGTGTACTAAAATTAACATTTTTTTGTGGTAAAAAAATTTATTTTTCATACTTTTGGGTGTCTTGCACGGATTAATTTTATTTCCATTATTTCTTATGGGGAAAATTAATTCGCATAGCGAACATTTCGCATAACGGCCAGCCCTCTTGCACGGATTAAGTTCGCTATGCGGGGGTCCACTGTACATATAAGATAAGATAAGATAAGATTTCGTTCGGATTTTTAACCCCGGAGGGTTAGCCACCCAGGATAACCCAAGAAAGTCAGTGCGTCATCGAGGACTGTCTAACTTATTTCCATTGGGGTCCTTAATCTTGTCCCCCAGGATGCGACCCACACCAGTCAGACTAACACCCAGGTACCTATTTGCTGCTAGGTGAACAGGACAACAGGTGTAAGGAAACGTGTCGAAATGTTTCCACCCGCTGGGAATCGAACCCGGGCCCTCTGTGTGTGAAGCGGGAGCTTTAGCCACCAGGCCACCGGGCCACATGTCAATCACCCTAATTGTATACTGTTTTGTTTTTTGTTTTACCACATACAATTTATATATCCAGACTTGACTTGTACTCACCGCAGTGCAGGCGAGAGAGATACATCATAATCTGCACCTGGAAGATCCTGGAGGGACTGGTCCCTAATCTTCACACAGAGATCACTCCCTACAAAAGCAAAAGACTTGGCAGGTGATGCAAGACACCCCCAGTGCCCAGGGCCCGAGACTGTTCAACAGCCTCTCACCAGCTGTAAGGGGAATTACCAATACACCCCTGGTTGTCTTCAAGACAGAGCTGGACAGATACCTAAAGTTAATGCCAGATTAGCAGGGCTGTGGTTCATATGTTAGACTACATGCGGCCAGCAGTAACAGCCTCGTTGACCAAGCCATGATCCACCTTGAGGCCTGGTCATGGACTGGGGCCGTGGGGATATTGATCCCTGGAATACCCTCCAGGTAGACCAGTTCGGCACTCATACTCTTGCTTCTATTGTCACTAAAATTCCGTTACAATTCTGTATTAAACTGTTACAGATAGTACAGAAAAATGTTATATAAAATGTTTAAAGTTTTTTTTTTAATACACTGGCTATCTCCCAATGAGGCAGGGTGACCTGAAAAAGAGCAAACAAAAGTTTTTCTTCTTTTCACATGTTACGTATACGTACAGTGAAACCTTGGTTTTCGTTTGCCCAGGTTTTCGCCAAATTCAGTTTTCAACGATTCTTTTCGTCACAACATTGTCCCAATTTTTGTTCATCACCTCGGTTTTCGTCTGCTGTACGGAGCATGTCTGTCTGCCCGTTCCCACACAAAGCATCCCATGCACGCATTCTGAGTCAGTCTGGCTTTGTGTCTCATCGAGTGAATATTGCCCTGCGCATTCATAGGAAACATTTCGTAATAATCCGTTATTTTTTGTGCTTGTTTATTAAGTGAGACTGCTAAATAATCCACCATGGGGCCAAAGAAATTTCCCAAAGTCCCAAAACCTTTTTAAAGAAGGCGAGAAACATGAAGAATCCAAAAAAAGAACTCGTAGCAAAAGTATGAAGAGGAATGAGTTGCAAATTTTGTGGAGAAATATCACTACCACCCTCTACAAAGGTAGAGGGTGGTAGTGATTGTGGTAGAGGGTGGTAGTGATGGTGGTGATGGTGGTGGTAATGCTGGTGGTAGAGGTGGTAGTGGTAGTGATGGTGGTAGAGGGTGGTAGTGGTTGTGATGGTGGTAGTGGTTGTGATGGTAGTAGAGGGTGGTAGTGGTTGTGATGGTGGTAGAGGGTTGTAGTGATGGTGGTAGAGATACCTCTCCTCCTCTTCTCTCCTCGCCGTTTTCCCCATACCCAACAAAAAAGGGTAAAAGTGATGTTAAATGTTCATTTATCCTTTCAATTAGTGCTTTATATTTATTTCTCATTGTTTTCTGTATGTAAAACTATAGTTATTCTCTATAAAATGTATTTTTTGTTAATATTTTTGGGTGTCTGGAACTGATCAAATTGGATTTACATTATTTCTTATGGGAAATATTGCTTCAGTTTTCGTTGAATTTGGTTTTTGTCGGACTCTCTGGAACGAATTAAAGATGAAAACCAAGGTTTCACCGTACTGTAAAACATAGCACTTAAAAATCTAAACTTCAATTATACATTGTCAAGCTGTTTTAAGCTAGTTTTAGACTGCCCAGAAAACCTTGCATAACCAGGGACTTTCTCCTTAGGCCATAAAACACATCGCCTAATTTTATAACAATTGTCTTCAAGCTGTCTTCAAGCAGGCACTGGACAAGCACCTCAAGGTGGTACCTGAGCAGCTGGGCTGTGGCTCATACTTTGGATTGCATGCATCCAGCAGTAACAGCCTGGTTGATCAGGCTCTGATCCACCATGAGGCCTGGTCACAGACCGGGCTGTGGGGGCATTGACCCCTGGAACTCTCTCCAGGTAAACTCCAGGTATACTTTTGGGAAATAAACACAAAATTTATACTGTACAAGTCAAGCAAGCACTTATCACAAAAAATTTTAGGCAACACACCATGCTCTTATTCTAATCCACATACCTATTAATTGTTAAGGTCTCTACATACTACTGTTCACTTCTCATCTTTAAAACACTACAGATGTTGATGGTTATTAGTGAATTTAAGCTTGGTGTTATGATTATTTCTTGGTATTTCTTGGAGCCTCTTATGCTGCCTCCTTTCACTTACAAGACTGAGCTATACAGTGGAAACTTGGTACTCGAACAGCTCCCTACTCGAACAAAGCTCGGCACTCGACCAAACAAACACGACCTGCCAGAACATTGCTGTAAACTATTTCGTGTTTCTTTGCATTTTTGTTTTATATTATTTGTATAAATAAGTCACCATGGGGCCTACGAAAATTTGTGGTTGGGAAGAATTCATTTGATACTCGAATGGATCAGCACTCGAACAACCTTCTGGAATGAATTAAGTTCAAGTAGCAAGGTTCCATTGTAAGGTGGCCTTGCTGTTCCCAGGCTAAGGTTGGACTCAGGGAATTTTTTTTCATTATGAATATACTGTATATGGAACAAAAGAAAATACTGTACAATATTGCAGATTTTTTGTACAAAAACAGAAAAAGTAAATTTACAGATTTCTTCCTGAGAACCAAAATTAATTATGTATGGACTCTTACTGAATATAAATGCAAGTACAGGTGGGCCCTGCATATACAGCACCTTTTTTTTCAGTGTTCCACATTTTCATTGGCTTTCAGTTGAGCCATTGTTCATTATGTTCAGTGATTTTACTGCTTTTCTGCCATTTTCTCCATTTTTGTACAACAGTTGCATAAGCAAAGGGTGACCAGTGTCATATTTTAAGGTAAGTATTGTATGTATTGTTTATTAATTTATTTTTTTATCTTTTATGTTCAGGTCTATTGAGCACTTAATAGTATATAATAGTGTAAACATGTTATCAGGAGTTTTAGATATATTCGATAATGAAAAAAAATTCTCTTTTACATCTGCTAGCAATTTTCACTTACTGTATGGAATCTGGGACCTAAAAGCCATACAAATGGGGCTAGTAACCCCTTCTCCTGTATAAATTACTAAATTTAAAAAGAGAAACTTTTGTTTTTCTTTTTGGGCCACCCTGCCTTGGTGGGATATGGCCAGTTTGTTGAAAAAAAAAAAATATTTGTCCTGGAAATGGAAAGTACAATGCCTGCAGTCTAAAGGAGGGGTTCAGGATATTAGCAGTTTGGAGGGATATGTTGTGCATCTTTATACGTATATGCTTCTAAACTGTTGTGTTCTGAGCACCTCTGCAAAAACAGTGATTATGTGTGAGTGAGGTGAAAGTGTTGAATGATGATGAAAGTATTTTCTTTTTGGGGATTTTCTTTCTTTTTGGATCACCCTGCCTCGGTGGGAGACGGCTGACTTGTTGAAAAAAAAAAAAAAAAATTGTCCTATGTCTAACAGAAACCTGGACAAAATATATATACATGTATTAGCATACCTTGCTAATACAACACTTAACTTTAGAGCGCTTCACTAATATGGAGCTTTTCAATTATATCCATGATTATTATTTTTGGCAGTGACACGCACATCAGCTGACCAGTACCATTTTTTTATTCATTTTTACTTTTGCGTTTTTTTTTTTTTTAGACCCCTAGCACTAGTGCATACTTGATAAATGACAGTGTAAACACATTTTTAGGCTGTTATATGCACTGGCAAGTGAAAAAAAGGCTGATTTGCCATATTAGCGAGGTATGACCGTCTTTCTTTGCTCCTTAGGTATAGACTAGATTTCATGTTTTTTTAAAGGCATAGTTAAGTGTGCTATGTTGTATCCAAGTGTTTAAACAAATTTTTTGACTTTATAATTCTTTTCAGTTTGAATCAGTATGAAGGAGGAGGATGATCTACAGCTTATATTAACATGGAGAGACCATAAACAAGTTCTTACACTGGTTATGGAAACTTTGCATTACAAGGTAAAGTGATGTTTTTATATTAACTATTTATATATACAGTGCATATTATATTATGTGCATGCAGACATTCTCACTTACATGCATGCTCACACGTACTCACATGCTCTCTCATGTACACACACACATGCACACAAGCATGAGTGCATGTGCATGCACATACACGCATTCATGTACACACTTTCATGTACAGTGGTACCCTGAGTTTCGGCCATAATTCATTCCAGAAGGCTGTTCGAGTGCCATTACTGAAAGAATTTGTTCCCATAAGGAATAATGTAAATTAGATTAGTCCATTTCAGACCACCAAAAATACACTTACTAAAGCATTTACAATAATACACTTACATAATTCTTCAAGTTGGGAGCTGATAAATTAGACACATGTGCAACTCTTGGGTATCTTTATTGAGGAAACGTTTCGCCACACAGTGGCTTCATCAGTCCATACAAAGGAGAATCTTGAAGAACAGGAGGAGAATGAGGTAATCAGTCCCTCAACCTTGAGTCGATGTGGTCAGTCCATCAATCTTGAATAGAATACGGCATACGTGCTGAGAAGGAGCTTATAAACCGTTGGCAGGAGAGGTGCAGAAGTCATAGGTCGTGTAACATTTGTTCAATGTTGAAGTAGGTCGTGCCCAAGAATTAGGCAAGCGAAGAATTCCCAAGTATTAAGATCCCAAGAAGTTGCAGTGTCTGACAGGTTTGTAGATGAATGGTTCAGAGAACCGACATGTTGATAAATTAGACACATGTGCAACTCTTGGGTATCTTTATTGAGGAAACGTTTCGCCACACAGTGGCTTCAGCCACTGTGTGGCGAAACGTTTCCTCAATAAAGATACCCAAGAGTTGCACATGTGTCTAATTTATCAACATGTCGGTTCTCTGAACCATTCATCTACAAAGTTGGGAGCTGTACGAAACTCGGGGTACCACTGTAGTATGTATGGACGTGGATGTACATACATAGTTATTGTGCACATACATGCATATATCAATAACAGTATGTGAAACCTTGTTAAAATGGACTGATATGGGAAAGTGATTGTCCACTTTAATGAAAATCCATTGTATGGAAGAAATTGAAACAATAAAGAACATGTATTGCATAGATGGACAACCATATATGGACAAATGCCCATTGCAGTGAACTGAGTCCTCTGTATTGATGGCAGTAAAGGACATACTAAGAATAAACTATATTGCAATGTAGTACAGTAAATTACAGTTTGGTATCTGAAAATAAGAGATAAAAGTACAATACAGTAGAGTACAACAATTTTTCTTACCTTTTCTGGTGGCTATGCTCGTAATTGGATTACAGACTGTCTAGTGGTCATTCAAAATAATTTTTATTCTGAGTCAGAATAACTTTTATTGTGAGTCAGAGGAGCTGTAAAGCTCCAGCATAATATTGTAGCTGGTGTGGGAGATATACAAATAGATTGTATGGGGGATGTAGATGGCTCAGCAGATGTAGATGGTTGAGGAGACATAAATGTAATACCAGCCTTACCATAAATTTTTATATTAAGTTAAAAGCATTTATGGAAATGCCAGAATAAACCATCAGTTGCCCCAAATTCCATTCCCATATAGCTTGCTAGCTTCTCAGTAGCAGAACAAAGCTTAACAGAACGAATGTTAACACTAGTGGCACACTGTTGAACATACCATTCATGCACTGAATCCTTGTATCTTGGGCCATATTCATATTCTTCCTCAGAACAACTAACCTCTAGTGTACTTCTTAGATTATGCTGTAAGTTTGTTTTTCCTTCTACGAATGTCAGACACTTTTTGCTGTGCTTCCCACATACTCTCCACACATTTGGCCGCTGAGATGCCCGACTCCTCTTCCTTATTAATTCAATCTTCTGCTTAACACTTAAGTTCACATGGTTCATGGCATGTGAATGTAAAATATGGACTTGCTTTAGAGGCCATTGTTAATAACGCTGTACAGTGCACTTCAATAAAGTAATGATAAACACACTAATTCTAGGGAAAAACTGGAGACAACATGACAATAGTATGTCAGTACATATGCACCCAGGCAATAGCAAACTGATATAAAGTGAGCCACTGGCTCTGCTGCCCAGGAGCAGTGAAAATAGACAGGTCATAGATAAAGCCGGAACTGGACAATCCTACAGTGAAGCAGACTTAGTCCATTTCTTTGATGGTATGACTGGACCAGACAACTGTGTGATGCAGCAGACTTGGTCTACTGCATTGGTAATTTTATCACACACCTTCATATGGCAGATTTACTGAGTCTTTGTCTGGTCAGATTTTTTATTGTTGTACCTGAAATCCATTGCATAAATGTGCATCATACCAAAGTTTTACTGTATCTCAAACCACAAAAGAAGTATAAAAGTAAGTTCTCAGTGTATGTACGCACACATGCAGCTCGGAGTGTTTGTAGAGAAAGGGTTCTCAGTATACAGCATAGAGACAAACAACACTGGGTGTGTAATTGTGTATCTATATATATATATATTATATTATATATATATATATATATATATATATATATATATATATATATATATATATATATATATATATACTCCTACTGCTCATTTGATAGAACATGTAAATTGAGTATTTTTGTACCATATAACAGTACACTGTATTTTTTTAACACAGAGACTGTCTCCTACCAAGGCAGGGTGACCCAAAAAAGAAGAAACTCTCATAAAAAATTGTCTTCCCTTTACATTTAGCAATAGAAACTCATCACACATGCATTGAACAGCCATGTACCAAAGATACTACAAATGCAGGAAAAACCAAACTTCATAACCATAAATTTCATTCCAGGAATTGTTCGCTGATGTTACCCTGATCTGCGGTGAGAAACAGTATGCTGTTCACAAGTTTGTTCTGTGTACTTGTAGTCCATATTTTGAGGAGTTGCTTGAGTGTGTACCATGTGAACATCCAGTGTTGGTTTTAACAGAAACCTCACATGAAACTTTGGAGGAACTGCTTGACTTTATGTACCTGGGCCAGACAGATTTCTGTTCCAAAGATTTGGATCGACTACTTGATCTTGCATATGAGTTCAGAATTAAAGGACTAATTAGCCCCAAGGATGAAGCAGACAGACAAGTATGTATAATACAATGTTCTAATAAATATATTCTTTATTAAATGTTAAAAGTAAATCATCTTTGTTGCAATAATTTAATTAAATCTATTTTTATAGTAAGGATATCATAGTATAGAAATGATGCTTTTCTTTCTTGATTCAGGAGATGTGGTTTTGATTATTTGTCAAGGCAGGTTTGGCAGTTTTATTTGCTTAAGTGTGTCCTAGACTTTGTGTCTGGTGCCTGCACATTGAGCTTTTCTCACATATGGTGCCAGCTGTCAGAATTGAATTAGAAGACATAGATAACATTTTTGGATTTTTAGAGGGATCTTTTAATTGAACCTTTGCCATCTGAACCCATCAAAAATGCCATTTACTCAATACATTCAATCTATATAAGTTTACCGCTGACTTTTTTGCCCCAAAATCCTCACTTTTTCCTATAGCACATCCCATATAACTTGAAGAACTAAGGGACAGTAGAAAATTTGAAAATTCAAGTACAGTAAACCCTCATTTTACTGGACTACTAGGAAGGAGTGGGTAGTTGGTACTGGTGATGTGTTCACAACTATGACAGATAATTCTGTCACCAGTGGATTTTGTTCCTTGTTTTTAAATTGATTGACTTATCAGATTTTATCTCATGTTTCTGAAGTTCAAAAAATTGAAGGTTTCCTGTACTGCACTAGGTATTGGTATTATGTTGAAGCCATTGTATTGAGATTGGTTGCATACTCTGATTTTATCTATGCAAAGTAAAAGGTAGCCTTCTATCTAATGATACATATATCTTATTAAAGTTTAACCAAACACTCAAATACAGTATATGGAAAAAAGTAAAATAAAGTAAAAATCAATCTGTAATAGGTTAGTATTGCTTTTGAGTTATTATATATCAAGGTCAGGTGTGCAGCATAGCTTTCTCTGAACAAAACATGTCTCTCAGAGATACAAGAATACAAGATCAGCAGTAAGCTTTCTTGCCCATGTTAGGCTGCACCTACTGACACCCACCCATTCTACTCGTGTAGAAAAGTGTAATAGGTGTACGAAGGTTAGACTTAATCATCATTAGCCAATAAGCCTACTTTTTTTTTTTTCAGAAACTTGAAAAGGATTCAGTTAAGCAAGAGCTCTCTGAGGTTATGCCAGATAAAACCACCCTATCAAAGGTTAATGGCAGTTTTTTCTTGAAGGATTCCTTAAACATTAATAAAATTAAGATTGTAAATTATTTTTAATTTGAATTGTAAGTAGTAATTTTTTTTTTCTTTTTGCAGGAACTTAAAAAGGATTCAGTTCAGCAAGAGCTTTCCAAGGTGATAACAGATGACACCAAATCATCAAAGGTTAGTGGTAGACTTTTTCTGTAATTTCTTGAACATGAATTAGATTAAGATTGTAGACTAAATTTTAGCATTTTTCTTTGGAATACACAAAAAATATTTTTTTTTTCAGGGACTTAAAAGGAATTCAGTCAAGCAAGAACCTTCTGAGGTTATGTCAGATAAATCTACACACTCAGAGGTTAGTGTCAAATTTTTGCTTGGAGGATTCCTTGAACATGAGTTAGATTAAGATTGCTGATTAAGAGACTTTAATTAATGGAAATGATACAGCACATCAACATATTTCTTATATAAGTTAGCTGAAAATTATGTTGTTGGCCATTTATAGCATTTTTCAAAATTTCAAGTGGCTTTAGTGTTTTTGAGTTGCACTGAGATACTTTACATTTCCCTACATATCAGCTATAGTGTGTATGAACTGTCACCACTGGTTAGTGAAATACGTACACTAGAGGTATGTATGTCTGTGGCTCAGTTAACAACATTCTGTCCTAACATGCTGAGTGTCCATGATTTGATCCCCAACATGGGTGGAAATACTGGTTGCGTTTCCTTACACCTGATGTCCCTGTTCACCTAGCAGTAAGTAGGTACCTGGGTGTTAGTCGACTTGTGTGAGTCGCATCTTAAGGGACAAAATTGAAGGACTCCAATGGAAATGAGACAGACAGTCCTTGATGACAAGCTGATTTTCTTGAGTTATCCTAGGTGACTAGCCCTCCAGGTTAAAAATCCAAACAAATCTTTTCTATGGTCCTGAAAACCACTATGTTGTAAAAGGCAAAAAATTCTCAGTGTTTATTTTGCATTGCATGACTTGCAGGAAGAACTGGGTTAGGGTTCAGGACTCTTGATACACACATATAATTTTTTATTCAGAAGTTTATACTGAATAGCAGTAAATGTGCTTTGATGTCTGTGTGCTAATTTCCTACTCATCCTCTTGATTGAATTTAGTAATTATGTTTAAAGGTGTTTGAGTGAGCCATAATTTCTGGTATCTAGTTAAATTCCTAAATATTTGACTTATGCCATAGTCACCACTTTAACTTCCCAATGTAACCATACCTGTCAGCTGTTTATTGAAGTAGAAGGTTAATAGTACCTTTCTTTAGAGCTTTTTCACTTAACCCTTTTACTGTCTTCCACATAGATAGATGTTAACCCTTTTACTGTCTTCCACATAGATAGATGTTATTGATGCCAGTTTTGCTTATGCGGATCTACATTTAAGCACAGCACCCTCAGATATGGTATGAGTGGTAAATTTCAGCCTAGACTTGAGACAATGGGTCTGTGCAGTCAGTGTACACATTTTAAAAAAAATCATGCCCCATGCAGTGCATGATGAGAAAAGCAAACTTCTTGACTTTATTTTTTGTTTAAAATACTGATTTTGAGGTGTTTTCTAGTGTAATTTTAATGGTATTATTGGCTGTTTCTGGGTATCAATTAATAGAATGGAATATTAACAGGGAAACTGAGATGAAGTAGCTCAAAATAATGGAAATAATATATTTTTGGTAGTTTTCCTGAGGAACAATATGGGGCTTCCCTATCCCCATCCTAGTAGTCTTTACTAGAGCCTCTTCGATTACTGGGGCAACCTAAACCGTAACCAGTCAATGTTGGTTATACAGTGGACCCCCGACTAACGATATTATTTCAATCCAGAAGTCTGATCGGGTGCCGTTGTAGACCGAATTTGTTCCCATAAGGAATATTGTGAATTAGATTAGTCCATTTCAGACCCCCAAAAATACACCTACAAAAGCACTTACAAAAATACACTTACATAATTGGTCAAGTTGGGAGCTGATCGTTAGTTGGGGGTCCACTGTATTATATTATCAGAGAAATTGGGTAAAACTTTGATCTTTTTGTGTGACAGTGGATTCAGAATGGAGGGCAAGGGATGTGATTAATGAACAGAGAATAGGTTGCCTTAGTGGCTGGAAGGTCTGCAGTGTTTCTTTTGGACTATGCACTCTGTATGGTAAAATTCTTGGTTTACCTGATGCTGCCAAGAATCTACAGTATCGCATGTAAAATTCTGTCATATTTTTGAAGGCATTACAGTGAGTCATGTTGACGGCAGTGAAGGGACTTGAGCTAGAGTTCGTCACGGCCACGCTAGCTGGAGATTCGTCTGTAAAAACTTGCATTTGTGGTCACAGTGGTGCCTGTGCTAACCTTCCTATGGTGTAGAAATATACCTAGTTGGACGAATCTTTTTGTGGCTAGCTGGTCTAGTGGCTAATGCGACGGGCTGGAGTTTTGAGACTCTCTGACCGCGGGTTCAATCCCGGCTGGGGTATGGTTTTGTTTTAAAACATTGTTTCCAAAAATTCAAACATTGAGTTGACTTTGTTTTTAATTGTTGTACGGTATTAGCAACACCTTTTATGCAGTAATTATCCTTACATCTCATTCAGTATCTTTCTTTTAACCCTTTCATCACATTTCGTATAAATGGTATATGGTTCAGAAAACTGAGAAGTTGATAAATGAGACATTTGTGGAACATTTGGGTGTCTTTATTCTGGAAATGTTTCACCAGCCAGTGACTTCTTCAGTCCATTGCAGAGGAGTTGAGGTAACTAGTCCCTCAGCCTGGAGTCTGTGTTCAGTCCATCAATCTTAAAAAAAAGTGCAGCATATTCATAGAGATGGGGCTTATATACTGTCAGCACAAGTGTATCATCAACACAAGTGTCTTTATCAACTTTCATCATATCTAGTAGTCTCTTAGGTAGTCTACCCATCCACCTTGTATACACTTTTATAACACTTTATTATTTAATCCTTGAACTGTGGCTAACTTATGTTCTATGCCAATATTTTGTGCTTTTGTATTTGCTGTGTGTCACCTTCTGAGGCCTAAGCTCATTTGTTTGGGTCTCTCATCACCACCTGATGCCAAAGAAAGAAAAGAAAAATTGTATTCTTCATGGGTTGGCTGAGGGCATTATGGGTAAGATGGGCCCAGTAGCACATGTAAACAACAACAACCAGAACCTGTTGTACCACCACCAGCTTCCATGCCAGCAAACACAGTGTGGAACTGGCAGGCTGATGCTTAATTTTTCCAAATTTACTAAAATTTCATGGTAACAATGGAATTCAACCAAAAGCACACCATGTAGATTTAATCTAGGATAACCCAGTGAAGTTAAATAATGCAACTTATTTCCTGGCTTCAAGAATTATTAAACCTTGAAACAGTTATAATATCATAAGATTTCCATGTACACAGTGTTAGAAGACAAAAAGAGTCAATAAAAGTAAAAAGAAATTCTTCTTTCAACGAACCAGTTGTATCCGACCAAGGCAGTGTGGCCCAAAAGGAAAAACACAAGTTTTTACCTTTAAATTTAGTAATACATACAGGATAAGGGGTTACTAGAAAAAGTAATTCTTTCTTTCAACACACCGACCGTATCCCACTGAGGCTGGGTGGCCCAAAAGGAAAAATGAAAGTTTCTCCTTTTACATTTAGTAATACTATATACAGGAGAAGTGGTTACTAGCCCCTTGCTCCCAGCATTTTAGTCGCCTCTTACAACACGCATGGCTTATGGAGGAAGAATTCTGTTCCACTTCCCCATGGAGGTAAGAGGAAATAAACAAGAACAAGAACTAGAAAGAAAATAGAAGAAAACCCAGAGGGGTGTGTATATATATGTTTGTACATGTATGTGTAGTGTGACCTAAGTGTAAGTAGAAGTAGCAAGATGTACCTGAAATCTTGCATGTGTATGAGACAGAATAAAAAGACACCAGCAATCCTACCATCATGTAAAACAATTACAGGCTTCCATTTTGCACTCACTTGGCAGGACGGTAGTACCCCACTGGGTGGTTGCTGTCTACCAACCTACTACTTACAAGAAAAAGTAATTATTTGTACAAATTTATAAAGAATGTTAAAATTGTGGCTGTGGTGTCCTGTCATCTCAGCACGTTTTAAGTACAAAAATGCCTTGAGGCATGCCTATTATCTTAACAAAGTAGTGTTAGACATTGAAAAAAATAGGAAAAGTGTACAGTAGGGTTATTATTGAAAGAATTAGAGGTAAGACAGAATGTAGGATTGCAGATGAGCAAGGAGGTTTTAGAGTGGGTAGGGGATGTGTAGATCGTGTTTACATTGAAGCATATATGTGAGCAGTATTTAGATAAAGGTAGGGAAGTTTTTATTGCATTTATGGATTTAGAAAAAGGCATATGATAGAGTGGATAGGGAAGCAATGTGGCAGATGTTACAAGTATATGGAATAGGTGGTAAGTTACTAAATACTGTAAAGAGTTTTTATGAGGATAGTGAGGCTCAGGTTAGGGTGTGTAAAAGAGAGGGAGACTACTTCCTGGTAAAAGTAGGTCTTAGACAGGGATGTGTAATGTCACCATGGTTGTTTAATATATTTATAGATGGGGTTGTAAAAGAAGTAAATGCTAGGGTGTTCGGGAGAGGGGTGGGATTAAATTATGGGGAATCAAATACAAAATGGGAATTGACACAGTTACTTTTTGCTGATGATACTGTGCTTATGGGAGATTCTAAACAAAAATTGCAAAGGTTAGTGGATGAATTTGAGGTGTGTGTAAAGGTAGAAAGTTGAAAGTGAACATAGAAAAGAGTAAGGTGATGAGGATATCAAATGATTTAGATAAAGAAAAATTGGATATCAAATTGGGGAGGAGGAGTATGGAAGAAGTGAATGTTTTCAGATACTTGGGAGTTGACATGTTGGCGGATGGATTTATGAAGGATGAGGTTAATCATAGAATTGATGAGGGAAAAAAGGTGAGTGGTGCATTGAGGTATATGTGGAGTCAAAAAACGTTATCTATGGAGGCAAAGAAGGGAATGTATGAAAGTATAGTAGTGCCAACACTCTTATATGGGTGTGAAGCTTGGGTTGTGAATGCAGCAGCGAGGAGGCGGTTGGAGGCAGTGGAGATGTCCTGTCTAAGAGTAATGTGTGGTGTAAATATTATGCAGAAAATTCAGAGTGTGGAAATTAGGAGAAGGTGTGGAGTTAATAAAAGTATTAGTCAGAGGGCTGAAGAGGGGTTGTTGAGGTGGTTTGGTCATTTAGAGAGAATGGATCAAAGTAGAATGACATGGAAAGCATTTAAATCTGTAGGAGAAGGAAGGCGGGGTAGGGGTTGTCCTCGAAAAGGTTGGAAGGAAGGGGTAAGGGAGGTTTTGTGGGCAAGGGGCTTGGACTTCCAGCAGGCATGCATGAGCGTGTTCGATAGGAGTGAATGGAGACAAATGGTATTTGGGACCTGACGATCTGTTGGAGTGTGAGCAGGTAATATTTAGTGAAGGGATTCAGGGAAACTGGTTATTTTTATATAGCCGGACTTGAGTCCTGGAAATGGGAAGTACAATGCCTGCACTCTAAGGGAGGGGTTCGAGATATTAGCAGTTTGGAGGGATATGTTGTGTATCTTTATACGTATATGCTTCTAAACTGTTGTGTTCTGAGCACTCTGCAAAAACAGTGATTATGTGTGAGTGAGGTAAAAGTATTGAATGATGATGAAAGTATTTTCTTTTTGGGGATTTTCTTTCTTTTTGGGTCACCATGCCTTGGTGGGAGACAGCCGACTTGTTGAGAAAAAAAAAAAAATAATTTGGCATAAATAATTGGAATTGATAAATACTTTACTGGTATGCTCATTTAGGCCATTGTCGACACATATCTTTTTTGCAAACTTCAAGACACCAAAAATGTAATATTTCCTTTGATTTCAGTTTTCATTTCATAGGTCTGTTTAGAAAAGTAGGCCTTTTCAGTCTGTAAGAAAAATAATTTCGTGTGTGTGTTCCCGTTCCGTTCACCCTACTCGTATGATTTGTGACGTCACTCTCCGCTTAGCCATCACTGGCTGCAGCTGATCACGCCACATCGCTTGGCCTTGATATCTGTGCCACAAGGACTTTGGTGCGCTCAGTAGCTGACTTGTGATTGTCGTGATTGTACGTCATTTGTGATTTCCTGTTGGTGCGAGAGCACCAACATTATCATGCAGATTGCTTCGAAAATTGTGAGTTATTTCTCATTTTGGCATACATGGCTGATATCTTCGATGCCCTCAATCATTTCATTTGACAGATGCAGGGTGGTGGAGTCAACATCATTGAAGTGGAAGAAAACCTGAAGGCTTTTCAAAATAAGCTACTGTTATGGAAATGCCGAACAGAAAATGATAATTTTGCAAACTTTTCCCTGCTGGACGATTGTGCGAGTGAGATCGAAGACATGTCTGGAATCCGAGACATTTCTGTACCTGGGGAACTGAAGCAAGCAATTGCCATGCACTTAGATGAGCTTGCAAAGTTTCTCGATGGATACTTCCCCACCAGAGTCATATCCAGAATGGGTGAGACAGCTGTTCACATTCAGTGTTGCAGCAGCAGATGTCAATGATGAATACCTCGACGAAATCATTGAACTTCAGCAGAGCCGGGTTCAATAGCAACTCTTCAGAGCAACAATGCTCTCAACGTTTTGGTGTCGCCAAACTGTAGCGTTCTCTCTTATTGCTAAGAAAGCCCTTGAGATACTCATGCTGTTTCTTACAATGTATCTTTGCGAGCAATCCTTTTCGAAGATGGTAGATATCAAAATGAAGAAAAGGAACAGACTTTGCTGCAAAAATGATCTGGGAGTGGCACTTGCCAGAGTGAAGCTGTGCATTTCTGAACTTGTCTCTGAAAGGCAACAACAAAAGTCACATTGATTTGCAGTTTTGATTAATATCATATTTTGAAGAAATCATATTTCATTTTTCCAATTATGAAGGGTTCGGTGAATGCTCGAATGAAACTTGTGGGGTTCAGTACCTCCAACAAGGTTAAGAACCACTGATATAGAAAAAGTACAGTATTCCATAGTGCTCAGTTCACTTACCAGACGTTACTCATATGCATTCAGTACACATATGAATAGTTACTTCTATGTACTTCATATATTTAAAACATAATTGTCTTCCATCTGCACAAGTATCTAAACTATCAGTCAAACTGATTTTAAGAATTAATGCTTAAGGGTTTTCAGCTTGCCTGATTATGTTAGTCATTATATTCTCTTCTCTTTATTATTATGTTGATAGAATAAGCTATCAGAATGTCATTCAGTTGCATGTAGAGTTCTGAAGACTATGTGACTATTTTTACTATTTTTACTGCTTATAATAAAATTTCAAAAGTTATGTTCTTTTTGTAAAAAACTTGTTAGTTTTCTTAAACTTTTTCTATAAAACACATTGATGTACTTTTTCAAGATGTCATTATGATGATGTGTGCATTGACTGAAACATTGTAAAGTTTAAGTGACATCATTATTGAAAATTGAACTTCATTGAAAATCTGAAAATAATATATCCCAGATTTCATAGTGTTGAATACAGTAGTAGAGTCAACACTCTTTTTAGTCATCCTATTTTGTTCCATCTCTAAATGCCCCAGCCACTTCAGTAACCCTTCCTCAGCCCTCTGAATTATACAGTACCTTCTCTAACCTCCCACACCATGTTCATGTTCTAGAAATTATTTAAAACTGGAAATGGTGAGTGCATAGACATAACCTTTTCCTTGGCTAAGCAACAGTTTGGTTGGTCACCACCTATTCTTGCTCACAGCATCCTCTGAGGACTGCTTCCTGCATTGTGAACACCCAGTGCCACTCTGCTGTAAAATATTTTGTGATCAATTGTCCTGTTCAGCAGAGGACACTAATTTCTTTTCAGCAGCCTTTTGCAGTGCAGGGATTGCTTACTTTGTCCACCCTTTCTGATGATCCCACCTTTAATGCAGACTCCCTCAGACTTAATTTACACCAATTTGTAATGTCATCTGTGACTCTCATTCTTTCTGCCACTGTCTTTTAATTAGCAATGCATCCTCTTTTCCTCTGACATCTTCCACCTCTCATGCAGCACTGAATGGCTCTTATGAGTTGAGTGCTTTCCATTAATTGAATAATTTTCCATTAGATTACTATGGCTTTGAAATAAATGTTGACTTTTAAAAACTGACATCCTTAGGACAATGGCCATGTCAGTTATTTATGTATGCCAGTTTGAGATTATAGCATTCAATATCATTATTGAGATTATAGCATTGAATATCATTAAATATTACAGTATCAGACCCTTAATCCATATGATTAGCATTGTTTTGACATGCTGAGATATTAAATTTCAATGATACCTTGAAGCATACTGCTAATATTTTTTACATCAGTGGGGTTTTGACTGCTCTTATATACATGCCATGAATGGAAACATATATACGTACTTGGTTTTCCTTCCCTGGGAGTCAAGCCTGTCCCTGCAGCTGTAGCCCACACCTCTTTGATAGCAGGAAATGCTCTGCATACTAAAGGGGCTTTCTGCATGCACACCTAAATATCACCCATCTTTGTACAAACATGGTACCATGCTGAAATAATGAATCTTCAATCTAAGGACAGAAGTAAAATGAGGGGCTCCATAATACAGTGGTACCCCGATTTTGCACCGCTCCCAACTCGAACAATAATATAAGTTTATTATTGTAAATGCTTTTGTATGTGTATTTATGGGGGTTTGCAACAGACTAACCTAATTTACATTATTCCTTACGGGAACAAATTTATTTAGTATCGGCACCTGAACAGCCTTCTGGAATGAAATATGTAAGTTCAAAACTTGGGGTACCACTGTAGACCCTTCTGGGAGCAGACATCTTTCTATAGTGGGAAGGTGGGAGATTACTGTCCCTGTTGATGCATTAATTCACACTAGCTGGGGCTTCCATCTTTATCATATCCCTTCAATCTACACCTCTAGGCCCTTGTATCTCTTTCCTTGGATCAGATCTGATTACTTCCCACTCCCTAGGCACTATGACCTCTCTGGGTTTAGTGCACCCTCTGTGAATGAAATAATAATAGACTCATTTCTGCCATGGACTTGTGTTTACTCAAGCTTAGTTTTTCCAATAACACTCCTATGCAGTGCTGTGCAAAAAATTGGCTTCAAATCATAAGCAGAGTGAGAAAAGTTGCTCTTGTTTCCTAATTGTGTTATCTAAAGACAGTTTTTCTTGATTGTTTGATCCAGGGGTGATTTTTCCCCGTCTGATCTTGGGAAACATACTTAGGTCAACTAGTATTTTCAGAGTAAATTTATGTATTCATTGCTGCAGTCATTCACCACCTCATTTACTACCCCTTTCTCATACCAAGCATATTTTTTTAAAGGTTTTCAATAACCACAGTGTACTGATGAATTACCCCAGCATGTATTACCACAAGATAACATCTCCCCTTAATTTCAGTTGTGCTGTGTTTCACATTGAGGAGGGTGCCCTGATTCTGGTGAAGGGCTCTTGATTCAAGAAATTGAAGCTATCCTACCCTTCCCTTCCTTGGTTCAAACTAGATGATCAGCCTGTAACTGATTTCATCAACAATATGAACAACACACTTATACCAACAATAACTAAACCAACCAGGCTCACTGAGACAAGTGCAACCATAATAGACCACATATGGACCAATATACTAGCCCCTCTTAAATCAGGGATAATCACAGATAGCACTACAGACCACTACCCTACCTTCCTCCTGACAAACAATAGTAAACCACCACTTGAATACAACAAAGTCTCATTTAGACTCCATGACGAGCCCTCAATAAGGAAGTTCACAGCTGACCTAGAGACTGTTGACTGGCCTACAGAATTCTCCAAGGCCAATGGTATTGATGACTGGACAGACATTTTTCTTAACAAATTACTTAGACTATACAACAAACATTGTCCTATAAAAATGAAACAGATCACAAACAAACGGCTTGGTTGCCCATGGCTAACCAGCACCATTCTGAAATGCAATGACAAGAAACACCAATATGAAAAGCAATATAGACAGGGCTTAATACACAAAGATATTCTTAAACACTATTCATCAGTTTTCACCAAAGTAATAAAGAAAGCCAAACAACTATACTACTCCAGAAGATTCACAGACACTAGAGGAGATATAAAAAAAGATCTAGAAAACACTCTCTCAGATTCTAGGGACCCACAAACTGAAAAAAAAACAAGAATATTGTCCTAACTAAACCTACAGATAGAGATATTAATGCCGGAAAAAAATCCCCCCCCCAGTACCAACAATACCACCAGTCCGATGAAATTCTTCTTTGCAAATATACAGGGTCTAAAGCCAGCAACAAACAACAAAATACCTTTCATCCGTGGACTGCTTGCAGAGGCAAAGGCAATGTTCGCGGCTTTCGCTGAGACCCACATAAAGGATCATTAGACAACGAAATATGGATCCCAGGTTACAACCTATACAGATGTGACAGAGTGAACAGGCAAAAGGGGGGGGAGGGGTTGGCCTGTACATTGCAGAGTCACTTGTTTGCACAGAACTGCTTAATGCCTCAAATGATGTAGTGGAAGTTTTAGCAGTAAAGGTCGAGAACCAAAACCTAGTCATTGTGGTAGTCTACAAGCCTCCGGATGCAACATCCCAGCAATTCCAGGAACAGCTGTTAAAAATTGACCACTGTCTGGAAAATCTTCCAGCTCCTGCACCCAACATCTTGCTCCTGGGGGATTTCAACTTAAGGCACCTAAAATGGAGGAATATAGCAAATAATATTGTTGCAGTAATAACACCAGGAGGCAACTCTGATGAAAACTCACACTCACACGAGCTTTTAAATCTCTGCACAAAATTCAATTTAAACCAGCAAAATAATAGAGCCTACTAGAATGGAGAATACACTAGACCTCATCTTCACTAACAATGATGATCTGATAAGAAATGTCACCATATCAAAAACAATATACTCAGATCACAACATAATTGAGGTTCAGACATGTATGCGCAGAGCCCCAGACCGACAAAATGAGATTAGTCACAAGGGAGCATTCACCAAATTCAACTTCAATAACAAAAACATAAAGTGGGACCAAGTAAACCATGTCCTAACCGATATAAGCTGGGAAGATATACTAAGCAACACAGACCCCAACTTATGCCTAGAACAGATTAACTTGGTGGCACTCGATGTATGCACAAGACTTATTCCTCTAAGAAAAAGGAGGAGTAGATGTAAAATAGAAAGAGACAGGCACTCTCTTTACAGGCGACGGAAAAGAATAACAGAGCGGCTAAAAGAGGTCAATCTATCTGAAATGCGTAGGGAGACACTGGTCAGAGAAATAGCAAACATCGAACTTAAGCTAAAGGAATCTTATAGGAGTCAGGAATCGCGGGAAGAACTAAAAGCCATAAATGAAATCGAAAGAAACCCAAAGTATTTCTTCTCCTATGCCAAATCAAAGTCGAGAACAACGTCAGTATTGGGCCCTTACTTAAACAAGATGGGTCCTACACAGATGACAGCAAGGAAATGAGTGAGCTACTCAAGTCCCAATATGACTCAGTTTTTAGCAAGCCACTAACCATGACTGAGAGTCGAAGATCAAAATGAATTTTTTATGAGAGAGCCACAGAATTTGGTTAACACAAGCCTATCTGATGTTATCCTGACGCCAAATGACTTCGAACAGGCGATAAATGACATGCCCATGCACTCTGCCCCAGGGCCAGACTCATGGAACTCCGTGTTCATCAAGAACTGCAAGAAGCCCTATCACGAGCCTTTACCATCCTATGGAGAGGGAGCATGGACACGGGGGTCGTCCCACAGTTACTAAAAACAACAGACATAGCCCCACTCCACAAAGGGGGCAGTAAAGCAACAGCAAAGAACTACAGACCGATAGCACTAACATCCCATATCATAAAAATCTTTGAAAGAGTCCTAAGAAGCAAGATCACCACCCATCTAGAAACCCATCAGTTACACAACCCAGTGCAACATGGTTTAGAACAGGTCGCTCCTGTCTGTCTCAACTATTGGATCACTACGACAAGGTCCTAGCTGCACTAGAAGACAAAAAGAATGCAGATGTAATATATACAGACTTTGCAAAAGCCTTTGACAAGTGTGACCATGGCGTAATAGCGCACAAAATGCGTGCTAAAGGAATAACAGGAAAAGTCGGTCGATGGATCTATAATTTCCTCACTAACAGAACACAGAGAGTAGTAGTCAACAGAGTAAAGTCCGAGGCAGGCACGGTGAAAAGCTCTGTTCCACAAGGCACAGTACTCGCTCCCATCTTGTTCCTCATCCTCATATCTGACAT